TTCAACAGCAGTCCAAAAGAAGTTCAAAACCCATTTTAATGCAGTCTAAAAACCAGTCCAACGACTGGTACAAGCCCTAAACCAGCCTACTAAAACCAGTCCAAAACCAGCTCAAAACCAGCCTAAAACCAGTCCAACACTAGTCTAAAGCCAATCCAAAACCAGTTCTAATACAGCCTTAAAACAGTTCAACAGCAGTCCAACATTAGTCAAAAACCAGTCCCAAACCAGTTCAAAACCCATTGTAATCCAGACTAAAACCCAACCAACACCAGCCTAAAACTAGCCCAACAACTGGTTCAAGACAAGTCTTAAATAAGCCTAAAACCATTCAAAAACCAGATAGAAACCAGTGCAACACCAGTTGTAAACAAGCCTGCAATCAATTTAAAACCAGTCCAAAACCAGTCCTAAACCAGTCCAACACCCATCTAAAACCAGTCTAATGCAAGTCTGGACTAAAGTTAGTCTAACACCAGTCCAAAACCAGCAATGACCAGTTCAAAACCAGCCTAAAACCGGCCTCAAAACCAGTCTTACTCTAGTCCCTAAAGCCAGTGCAAAACCTGCCTTAAACAGGCCTTAAAACCAGTCGAGCACTAACCCCTAAAACCAGTCCAACAATGGTCTAAAACCAGCCTAAAACTACTTCTAAATAAGTCTGAAACAAGCCTAAACCAGCCCAAACCCAGCCCTAAAACAACCTTAAAACCAGCCCAGTACTAATCCCTCAAACCAGTCTAACACTAGTCTAACACCAGCCTAAAAACAGTCCTAAACAGCCTAAAACCGGTTCTAAACCAGACCTGAGCCAACCCCGAACCAGCACGAAACCAGTCCAAAATCAGCACATCACCAGTCCTAAACCAGCCTAAAAACCAGTCCAACGTCAGCCAATGTCAGTCATTAACTAGCCTAATATCTGTCCCAAAGCAGTCCAACACCAGTTCTAAACCAGCCTAAAACCAGCCCTAAAACAGTCCTAAACCAGTCCAATACCAGTTCTAAACCAGCCTTATAACAGTCCTAAACCAGCCTTCAACCAGCTGCTCTGCGTTCTTCTCACTGAGACCTCCATCCAACACCAGAACTTCGTTATCAGCTCCAGTGATAGAACAACCTCTCAGTCCTATCACAGCCTGCAGACCCTCCTGACGTGTCAAACATCTTCTGAATGTCTGACAACGTGATCCCGTCGCCCAAAATGTCCATCAACTTCACCGAGCCCTTCAGGGAAAATGGGACAACAACCAACAAGCGAAGCAGCAAACATTTATTCCTTTATCATCAAAAGAACAGATGAAATTCCATAACCGATCACATGCTGCCTTTATATTTTTGTTCAGCATTGCTGTGCTTTTAATGAGGCCGCTACACTTTGAGACACTCTGACTTCGGTTTGTGAGCTGCTGCAAAGTTCCTGAACAGCTGCAAAAGGTTAGAGGAGCAGAGCGGATGATTCAGATCCACAGAGAAACTCTTAAAGTTCACTGTAAGGGTCCCATCAGCTCTGGAGGGGGAGTTTATCGGCGCTAATGGGGGCTGCTGCTGCTGCATAAACTCCGTCAGCTGTCGAGTTCAAGTTCAAAATCCTGAACTCGGATAACGACTCTGTGTGAAATAATGTGGACGAACTAAATCATAATTAGCTTCAAGAAATCTCAATGCAAATGATGAGTTAGACCAGAATTTTCAGAATAAAAGCTCATATTTTTAATTTAAGTTCAAGATGTGTCCAATCACATGCTGAATATTATTCAAACACAAGTTTATTTCTGCTGTGATAAGTTTGTCTGCTTCAAAGACATTTCATTCAAAGATTGTCGCATGTGCACGACAATACCTGAGGAAGATTATTCACAAATTAAATATTAAAGATTTAGAATATTTATAAAGCTACCATCAGTGTCAAATATTATTCTTTTCCAGTTTTTAGGTGATTTTTTTCTGTCAGTTTTTGGTCACGTCTTTGCCGCCTGAGACTTCATTTCTTTCTTAAATTAACTCATAATCTGTGTCAGTCAGACAGATGGAGGAAGACAGTGGAGATAAAGAGAAGTGGAGAAGTTTTAGTTTTTTTATTATTGAGAAAAGTGATTAAAACTGAACTAACGGAGGCTTTTGAATCATTTAAGTTTGAGTGAACAGTGCAGCAATCAGTGAAGCCGGTTCAGTTTGACCGATGTTTCCGCTGCGTATTGATCGCTGGTCCAATGTGATGCGTTTTTCATGATAAATCGCGTTCTGTGCATTGTGTGTATACGTGTGTGCACGTGAGCGTGCACGTTGCTGCCAGTCCATCTGTTGTCCTTAATCAGGGTAAGAGCAGATGAGTTCCGTCACCTGGAGACTGGCTCAGGGAGGTCCAATTAAACACAGCGCGCACTACAACAACTGTCAGTCGACTGAAATAACCCACAACATTAACGGCATATTTCATCATCATTAGAGGCCGAGCGGATGCAAACACACACACACACACACCAAAAACACACCAAAATACACACACAGCGTCCATAAAGGCAAGTCTCAGTCCACACATTCTAATCATATTAACTTTATTTGTATTGCACAGTTGACAAAGACATTAAATATGAGACAATAAAGTACAAGAGTCCATAATGAAAGTAAGAAATATCTTTAAATTACGTTAAACCAC